TCCTGATTTCAGTTACATCTATTACTAAAATAATTTCTACTGAGTTTTGTTCAGTGAAATAAACCTTTTCTGTGTTGTTTTTCATTTAAAACAGCTAATTAGGCCTGGATATTTGTAGTTAATTAAAATATGTCTACCTTTTGATGAAAAATTTCTGGTTAGTCTTTGAGTTCTCTGATACTACCAATTCAAGCTTATTTCAATAGGAAGAACGTTTACTAATTTTAATACAATGTGAATTTCAAAATTAGTATACAAATATAAAATTGAAATTTTAAATGATATTTGGAATTAGTTTACACAATTGTTCTGTCAATTTTATGCATGAATAGGTTTATCACTATAAGACATCTTAATTTACATTCAGCCTTCAGTAACATTAAACAATGTACACCTTTATTGAATACAAATGAACATGTACCAGTCAAAATTTTAATAACAAATTTGAGAATTGTTTTTGTACTACTATTCTCATAGACAGCTTTAGACACCTTTGTAGATAAATACATTAAAACTTTATCATGAGTTATGCAAATATTTTGTTTCTAATTCTGAATTTAATTGCTTTGCTCTTATGATCACTTACTCAAAATATGGATTATCTGGTAATTACTTTTATTTTACACAAAAAAACAAATAATATAAATACTTACTTTCCATGAATTCTGCCAGGATTTTCTTGGCTGATACACTGTGAAATTTTTCTCATGTATCATTAAAATAAAGTATGATTGCGATAAAATATCTCTCTCTTTCTAACCTATAAGTTTTCATTACTTCCTCACTTTCAATGGAGAACTTGTTCACATTAATATCCAGGAACATCTAATAACAAATATAAACATTGGTAGATCCTTCTCTGTCTTACCAATCAGCATGCAGCTGATAGCATTTTCAAATGTATTTTTTTCTAATTTCTTACAAGGAAATATGAATAATGTCTGGATTGAGTCTAACTGCCAAAAATAAAAATCTAAGAACCCCAGATAATTATCTTGATTAAAATAATCAATTTCTAAATAAGATTCCTGGTCTTTTAGTACAGATTCTCAGTTTTTCTTGAAAACAAGCTTTGCCTCCACCTCACCAATGATTTAATAACAAATAGGACATTTACTTTGAACTGGTATAGAGCCCCAGGGATTCTGTGCAGAAGATACTAATTGACTATCATCTTCATTATCTCTAAAAATAAAAAAAATAAAAAATAAAACATTAATTAAGAGTCTAGACAGTATATCTACTGGGATACCTGACTTGTTGATGTCAAAATGGAGTCTAAGTCCTACAGTGGGGATTACAGGCTTTGTAAATAACTCCAAGTTTTTAAAAGTTTCTGAGCTGAGATTGCTCCAAGGAGAAGAAAAATGGAACTCTCACATTCTCCTTTCCAATAGGCAAATCAAGAAAGTACTGTTGGCCTCTGTCTAATGACAGCATTGTCCATAACTTCCAATTCAGTCAATATTTATCAGGTGGCTCATAATGTGAGTTTGAGCTCAAACTCACTTATTTCTTATCCTTCCATATTTTTGAAATATTTATTATATAGTAATACAATATATAACATAATATTTATTATATAATAATTATTATGCAGTAATAAGCAGCATCACGATAAATGGAGAAAAGATTGAAGTTGTCAAAGACTTCACATTGCTTGCCTCTGCAATCGATGCCAATGGAAGCATTAGTCAAGACATCAGACGACATATGGCACTGGGCAAGTTGCTGCAAAAACCTCTTTCAAGGGTTGAGGAGCAAAGATGTCTCCTTGAGGGCTAGGGTATGACTGACACAGCCATGGTATTTTCAGTCGTCTCATATGCATGTGAGAACTGGACAATGAATAAGGACGACCAAAGAAGAGTTGATGCTTTTGAGTTGTGGTGCTGGTGAAGAATGCTGAAAATACCATGGACTGCTAAAACAACAGGAGCTCTG